CCCAGGCTGTCAGGCAACCACTGGGGATGAGCTTACCAGAGTTAGCCTAGAGTCCATGCTCAGGGAGCCTGGAAACTGCCTGGCACTTTCCTGCATCAGTGGAGTCAGGATTGGTCCTGGGGATAAGGGAGAAAAGAGGGGCTGGGAGCCAAGCTGGGCAGGCCCCCAGCCTCCTGAGTGGCTCTGCTCTGCCATTTCCTGCTTGTTGAACTGTTCCAGAAACTGTGCTTTCTTCAAGCGTGACCCCCCCCCCCATCCTCCTCCCTTCCCAACCTCTGTCTTCACTTACAGTTTACTTCAAAAGCATGCTAAGGCATGGCAGCCTTTCTGGGGGCCAGGGTTTCCCCACTGGGAGAAGGACTGCCTTTATTCTGGTGGAATTTGTTAGCTACAGTGTCTAATTTGAGACCTTAAGAAGCGCTATTACTACAGTGTTCTTCAGTCTCCAAGTCTCTGTATTTGGTCCTTCCAAATACAGTGTGTTCTCTCCAGTCTACACCTTGCTTTGTGATTTACAGTAATGATTATGATATGAGATCGCTAACATTTCATGAGAGCCGTGTGCTAAGCTCTATACTCTTCTAAGCACTGTACATGGATTGTCTCATTTAACCCACATCCAAAATCCTAGGAGGAAGGTGTTCTTACTAAACTCATTTTACAGCTCAGGAGACTGAACAACAGAGAGGTTAAGGAACTTGCCCCAAGATCACACAGCTGCTAAGTAGGCAGCACTGGGAACCAGGGTTCATGCTCACAACTCACATGTATGCTAGCTTTAAAAATGAATATATGAATAAAATGTGTCTGAGGCCTCACCTGCTTGCATTTGTCACTGGGACTATATCAAGAGATGAGCAGAACACACCAACAGCCCTCCTCCTCCTTCCAATGCTTCCAGAGCTCTCTCCTTCCCAGGGGAGAAAAGGCAACTCGATTGCTTGCTATGCTCAGGCCTGCAGGCTTCCTGGAAAACATCTTTCTGAAGTCACATTCTTGAAGGGGTGGAAAATACTGAGCCAATCTCTTGGGGCCGGGGCCCTTGAGAAATCAGAGAAATGGACTACTTCCATAGCTGACCTCTTACTTAAATTGATCAGATTTTCTATGGCGTCATTGAAAGCCACTAGAGGGGAAAACCACAGAGTTGATCACCTTCTGTTGAAGCCCCAGGTGAGTGGCTTAATAGATTTCTGCATAAATAAGTCCCACCCTTCGGAAGGCGCACGTATTCGAATGCCCAGGCCCCAGGGGGACCTATTGGTCTTCAGTGGCAGATCCTTCCGAGGCCTTCCAGAAAGAATCAATGGAGCTCTGAGTTGTGTTTACAGGAATGCTGCAGGAATTTGAATGTCACAGAGTTAAATTTTCTAACAAACCAGGTTGAATAGAAAGCCATGTTTTCACAAGCCTTTGTGGAAACTGTTTCTTACCTGCTTTAGCTGGTAACATTCAGTAACCATTACTCATTTTGTAGGATTGAGGGATTCTTGAAAAACAGGTGTTTCCTGGCGTCTGCTCTCAAGAATAAATGGCAGGTCTTGCATGGCCCCCCCATCAGTTAAGACCGTATGTTTCAAGAACGTAAGAGGCACCACAGGATCGATGTGGTCCTGCCCCCAGGAGGCTGACAGCAAACAAACAGTAAGATAGATAGACAGACAGACAGATAACAAACGGTAAGATAGATAGACAGACAGACAGATAGGAAGACTAGAATGGAGTAGTCACAGATTGTGAAAAGTGCTAAGAAAGGGGAGGATGAAATTGGCCAGAGACGGGGCGTGTAAAGGCAGGAAAGGGGTGTGCCCTCCTTTAGAGAAGGCCTCCTTTGGACGTGACATTCAAGTTCAAATTTGAGGAGTGAGAAGGAGCCAGCCCTGCAGAGAGCCAGGAGAGGGAAGAGCAAGAAGAAAGTCCTCGAGGCAGGAGACACCCAGGCCAGTGGAGGGCGGCACCTGCCGAAAGACTTGGGGACGGGCCTCACCCCTGCAGAGCCTGCGGGCCAGGCCCCGGGAGCTGGATTCTAGTCTCAGTACAGGGGAAGGCCTGGGAAGGTTTGAAGCAGAGGCACCGCACAGTCTTACTTACATTTTAAGCTCACTCTTGCCTAAGAGACTAGTTTGGGGGCACCTGGGTGGCTCAGTCGGTTGAGTCTCTGACCCTTGATTTCAGCTCAGGTCGTGGTCTCAGGGTCCTGGGATCGAGCCCTGCGGTGGGCTCCCTGCTCAGCAGGGGGTCTGCTTGTCTCCCTCTCCCTCTGCCTCTCCCCCCGCCCTCGCTCATGCTCTTTCTCTCTCCCCCTCCCTCTCTCTCTCTCTGAAATAAATCTTTTAAAAAAAGAGAAAGAGACTGGTTTGGATGGAGACCCGTGAGGAGGCCACTGCACTCATCTAGACGAGAGGCCGGTGTTTGGAACCCATGTGTGGGCAGTGGAGCCGGAGAGCCGTGGATGGATTTGGGATTGGGGTGGTGAAATCAACAGCTGATGGAATGGCCATGAGCATGGGAGAAGGTTCTGGCCTGAGCACCTGGGTGGACAGGGGTGCCATTCACAGAGACGGGATGACTGGGGGACAGGTTTGGAGGATGGGGGGGTGGACGTGTTAAGAAAAAGTTGCATTTCGGACATGCCACATCTGAGAGTCCGAGAGACATCCAAGAGATGAGCTCAAGAAAGCGGTAGTATATGGGCTCGCTGCTTACCAGCTCTGTGACGTGGGCAGGTACCTCATCTCTAGAATGGGGCCCCTGATAGCACCTCCGTTGTGGACTTGTCGTGATGACTGTATGACTTCATACAGGGAAAGAGCTTAGATTTTGATAGTAAGAACTCAATAAACGTTAGCTTCCTATAATAACAATTATTATCATCACCATCTTAGCTACAGTAATTTCCCTGCCATTTGTCTCTTTGTAATTAAAATCAAGGGCCTCTGTAGCTGGTAAACACTTGTGCTGATGTTCTTGGAGTTATTGGCTTCTGAGTCTGGGCTCTCAGGGAACACAGGGTGGGGTCTGTGTCTCCCGCCTCCTAGCCCCCTATCACGGTGCCCACACAGAGTAGGTGTTCAGTAACATTTCTCCAGTCACGTGGAATTCAACTTGACTCCAGCAAAAAAAAAAAAAATGCTCATTTGAGTCAGTCAGTCAAGCATGGAGGAGAGCAGAAGGGGCTTAGACACAGACAGGAGAGAGGAAACTGCAAATTCACTGACAAGGGCAATTCATAGCATCTTTGCTCTCAAGAAGGAGGCTCTTGATTTCACAAATCAACCTCTTCCCGGACTAGATAGTGGGTCTGTTAGAAGAAAAGTTTTCCCTACAATTAGTCAAATCTGATACCTCCCCAAGATCTGTACATACACCCCACCCAATCAAGGCTTCAGACACCTCAACACGACACATGCAGACCACCCCCTTTCCCTTTCCAGAAGCCTCTATTGTATGCCCCAGAACCTGGCCCCGTTGCTCTCACCCTCTTTGCTCTGTCCCGTCCATTTGGCCTGGACCATTTTTATTTTTAGGAAACTTAGATGCAGCGTACCACCACACGGGGGTTTCCTCTCTTCCCCTGGAAATGCTGGGATCTGTGGTCTCTCCCTGTGTTCTTTTCAAATCTTGGCAGTGGCTCTGCCCTTTTCAAATTAAAAAAAAAAAAAAAGTTTAATTTCAATTTCAGATAAACAGCAAATAACATTCTAGTGTAAGTTTGTTCCATGCAGTATTTACTTAAGTACTTTTATTTGCTAAATCTAGCAACGCTCACTGTGAGAGTCCCAAGTCCAGAGCCCCATGTATCAAGCCTTACTGCACAAACCCCAACACATCTTGGATGCTGAGGCCCAGGGTCCTTCAGTCCTCCCCCACCACCTGCGGGGCCCTCGATCTTCCCTAGAGAGTCCTCCAACAGTGTTAGGTGGTCTTGGCTCCCCAGCCTGCCATGAAAAGGTCTTAATCCTAGAGTCCAGGCTCCTGGTCAACTGTGGGCCTTCCTTGGTCTCTCTCCGTGCTCATACAACTAGGCCCTTGGAGGCTTAGCCAGACGCCCAGCTTCCTGAGCTGTGCATGCAGGTTAGACCCCACATCAACACCAAGCTTTCAGTCGTCTTTCTCTGGTTTCTATCTTCACTGCATCAGCTCCCCCTGGTGGCCAGAAGCAAACTTACTGTCTCCTGTCCAGAGCCCTACTATCTCCTACCCTGAGTTCCTATTTCACGGTAGCCTTCTGCCCAGGCAGAGATGAATGATACATCAGAAACCAATGAAGAGTCAGGCACATACCCATCCCACCCACTTCCTGAGGCACCCTTTGTGGTTCACCCCTGAAGGGCTCTCCCCCAGGTCCTAGCCTTACTGATGAACAGGAGCCTCAGTGCCATAAACTTTCGGGAAGAGTAGCCCCTCTCTTTCCCTCCAATGATAAAAAAGAAGGTAGTTCCCTCACAAACTGAACCTTTCCTTATGCCACAAAGTGGCTTAGTTAGAAGCAGGAATGGGACCAGGAATCCTAAACACGTGGCTCTTTTCCTCAGTTTCCACCCTCTGGGTTAGCAAGAGGAGGGGATAGAAAGGGGGCTGGGACAGGGTCCACTACAGGTTGCTGGCTCTGTGGCCCTGGGCAAGTCCTTTATCTGTGTATTTATCGTCATGGTTAGAAGAGGGGTAATGATAGCACTTGCCTTTTGGGGCTGTGTGGGGGCTGAATGAACTAACTCACATAAAGGGTTTAGCAGAGTGCCTAGCCCATGGTCAACATTCAGTAAATATTAGCTCTCACCATACTTAGCTCAGCATGCTCTGGAAGCATGGAGGAAAACAGAGGTGCAACAGTTACAAGGACAAAGGATCAAGACATCCATATTTTAATTGGAGCCTAGGAACAGGCTGTTGGCATGGAAAATGCAAAGGATCCTTGGTGCTTTCTAGCTCTCCTGGTCCTCAAGGACCAGTGCCCGAGGAAGCCACTGCACCCAACTGACCATCTCTCCCTTCCTTAGGGCCGACGACTGCTTTTGTGCTTCTCGGAAGCTGGATGCAGTGGCCATCGAAGCCAAGTTTAAGCAGGACCTGGGTTTCCGGATGCTGAACTGTGGGCGGACGGACTTGGTGAAGCAGGCAGTGTCTCTCCTGGGGCCCGATGGGATCAACACCATGAGCGAACAGGTACAGGGTCCGAGAGTCTGAATGGACGCCCCCCCGCCCCTCCACCAGGTGCACTGCCCCATGCCAAGATGGCAACAGCAGGCCCTGGACACGCACTGCCCCTACTGGTGACTTAGGTGATTTTTTTTTTTTTTTAATTTAGTTAGTTTTAGTTTTTAAAATACAAAAACATCCTTGTTCATCCTTATAGAAGTTGCACATGATCTTTGCAGCTGAAATGGAAAATAGAGAAAAATAGGCCTATTCCAGAAAGGAAATAATGCCATCACCCAGATAGCCATCATTTATATTTAGCATGTGTCCTTCAAGTCCTTTTTTCAGCGTGGTTAAAATTAGTTCTCTGCCTGCCTTTCTGTTACTGCATCACAGAACAGCTCCGGGAGTATTTTTACCAAACTTTCAGGGTATGTTTGAGATACACGGAAGTCATTCTGGGGAACCCTAGGAGGCACCTCAAAAACAGGCAGCTGTCCCCCAAGCCCCTGAAACTGAGGTACGGTGAGAGGCTCATGCATCTACCAATCAAGAGACACCATGTGGGTGAAAGTGTCACAGACAGAGAAAACAAACAGCAGTTTTCAATGTGAGCCCCAGATGGAAAGTCACAAGGGACAGATGGAGCTGTTTCTCATATGGACAGCTCATGCGGCGAGTTCCAGGGAAAGAATAGCAGCTAAGAATTTTCCTGAGCAGCAAGGAGCCCTAACACACACACACACACACACTTAAATTATTTTTTTAAAACAGGGATTTACAATGTCTTGCCTTTTCCAATAATTTATATTAAAGGTGCTTTGCAGTATCATTAAATATTCTTTTTTTTAAATCATTTTTAACGGCTACATTAAATGGTCGTATTATTGATTCAGTTTTCCATTCTCAGTTGTCGGATATTCAGGTTGTTTCTAATGACTTTTATCAATAATGCTGAGTTAAACACACAAGTCTTTGTTCAAATCCCTGATTGTTTCATTAGGGAAGGTTTTTTTAATTGAAGTACAGTTGACACAATAGTTTCAGGTGTACAAAATAATGATTCTACCATCCTGTATGTTATGCTATGCTCATCATTAGGGAAATTCTTAAAAGCGGAAATAGTGGCTCAAACACATCAACCTTTCTGAACGTTCTCAATCTCAAATTACTTTTCCAGAGACTTTGTTTCCTTATACACACGCTCCAACAGTATATGTGTTTCCCTATTAATCTTTTACTTAATGTTTTGCAAGTATTTCATTGGAGCTTTACTATCTTCTTTATTTAGAAGAGTTCTTTACATATTAGACATATAACCCGTTGTTATAATATGACAAATACGTCTCAATTTATTGTCTACCTTTCAGTTTTGTTTATAGTGTTTTCCATTTTATGTCCTCAACACCGTAATGATTTTTATTCGTGATTTCTTCCATTCCTTTTGCACCTAGAAACAGATCCAGTGAGATGTCTTTTATGGTCTTAATTTTTTCTCTATGTCTCTAGTCAAACTAGAAATTATTTTGCCATATGGTGTGAGATAAGGCTCTAATTTGCATGTTTTCCCAAATAGCCACCTTCGCAGTACCATTTATTGAAAAATCCATCCCTTCCTTCTGTTGGTTGTGGAACTTCAAAATAATCAGGAGTCACAGGCAAATATGGAATTCCTAAAAGCCGTTCCTCATTCACTTGCCTTTTGCTTGTAAATGATAATGTCAAACCAGACGTCAGTGATGGGGGCATGCTCAGAGGCATCCAGTTTCCCTTGACACTGACCGGCAGCTTATATAAAGCAAAGATGACACTTGTTATATTGTGAAGGAGAAAATGCCAAGGAAACAGTATGTATGAATTAGGTAGTTTGGACTGATGTCACAGAATCCGGAGAGTTCCTAAGAACTGTAAGTTGAAATCAGCCACTTGTTTTAGCAAACACTCTTAGGTCTGCTACACCTTAGGACAGACAAATGAAAATACTCCAACTTAAGCAAAAATAATTGGAAAAAAAAAAAAAGGCAATTCATCCCCCACCCCATTTTTTGCTTCCATTTTGGGTTTCAAAATGTGCGGGATTGTGACCTTATGAGTCCTAGGGGGGCACGTTTGTTTTTTTAATGCTGGGTTTTGAGTACAAGCATGGCCACCTGCACACAAGTAAGAATTTCCATTTGTTACTGTTGAGTGACAGCCCCTGTGTAAACCCTCTCCATTCTCTGGTCTTTAACCCACTGCAGGGCATGACCCCCCTGATGTACGCCTGCGTCCGCGGGGACGAGGCGATGGTTCAGATGCTGCTGGATGCCGGAGCTGACCTGAATGTCGAGGTGAGGGTGCAGAGGGCTGCAGGGCCCCTCGGCCTGGCAGTCCCCCAGGGGCAAATGAGCAAGGGGGGAGCGGGGCTTTTTCTCCCAAGAGACACCACTGAGTGTGCTCAGTCCAGCAAATAGGGCAGACCAGCTGGCGGATTTCCTCCATCCCAAGGCCCCAGCCCAACCGCAGGAGGAGCTGCCTGCTTGTACATTTCATTTAAAAACAACCAGCAAAGCTGCGGGGAGCACCAGCTTTTCTTTGCTTCAGCCGAACTGAGTCTGATTCTTACTGCTCATCATTCCTTTGGGGATGGGGCAGAGAGCGCTCTCCTGAGCCATCAGCCCTTTCTGCCTAATACAGAGCTGGTCCATGTACCCTGACCTGAGGTGTAGCTCCCCCAGATCCCCCGCCCTCCCAACCAAATCCTGATTGGTTCGCCTGTTGGCTGAGTGGAAGCCACAGGTCATAAAGCCAATCGCAAAGCTTCCTAGAGGCGGTGTGGTGTATAATGGAAATCACACCCCCAAGGGCTTTAGAATTTGACACTCGGGCTCAAATTCGGGAACTGCTGAGTCTTCGCAACTTGCTTTTGTGCTTGGGCAGGTGGCTTAACCTTGTGGAGCCTCGGAGTCCCCATCCGCAACAGGGAGAGAATAATCACACCCATCTCAGAGAGTCGCTGGAAGAAATAAATACAAAGGGTACCTAGCATAAGTTTGTGATTCAGTTAATATCGGTTTCCCCACATACACCACGAGGCTTGTAATAGGTGAATTCATGCTTTTTGACCATATTCTATCCTGTCTTTCTGGCAGCCAGCTATTGGCAGCCCCAGAAGCTGGGAAGGTTGGCATGCTGCAAGCCTAGCCCAGCAACCCTGTAAAACCTTGTTAGCTCAAAATCAGATGTTCTTGTAGTCTTAGTACTGTGCTTTTTTTTTTTTACTTAGTGATTTTGATATTCATCTGAGGAAAACAGGCAGTAGACACAGTTTTGCATCCAGACCATTTTGGATATCACAAGTTTCAAGTACTGGGGACTTTCTTGCCTGTTATGAATCCCCCAGCACCGTGCAGATCCCTGCAAGGGCTCCTCATCTTTGGATCCTGGTGGGCTTCTCTGGTCCTCTCTAGCCCATCCCATGGCTCCCAGTTCAAGGCCTCCCTTCCCAACCCACCGGCAGGTGATTAGTGAACTCAGCTGCTCTGAATGAAACAGGCATCACGGCTAGATGGCCCCAGCAGTGTTCAGGAGAAAAGCCATGTGTGGGTGCCGGTCCTGCAGGACCCCAGCCTTCAGCTGCCCTGCTGCCTCTCTTTTGGCCTAGGGTGTGTTGAGGCCCCCATACTGAAAGACCCTGATCAGATTGCTCACTCACGGTGTGTCCAGGGAAGGGTTTGTGCCCAGGTTTCTAGCAGCTTGAGGGTCCTTGTCTCCTAGGAAGCCAACCAAAGAGTGAAATGAAGATAGGTAGGGTGAGCTGTGACCAGATGGGAATGTCACTCCATCAGATGGGTGGTGGTCTTCCCTGGCTTGAAAGCTTGAAGCAGACCTCCCCTTGCCTGAGGTTTGCTGCTGCTGAGAATCTCCCCTAAAGGTGTGGATGTCATGGTCTGGCATCTCACACTATCTGACATGCTGTGGCCCTCAGAAGCACCACCCTTCCTTAAGCAGAAAGAAGGGGCAGGCTGGCGAGCTGGCTCATGGTAGCTGCCATTACAGTTCCTCCAAGGCACCATAGAGGAAGTCAGAAATCATCAGTTTAACTCTTTTCGGGTGAGAAGCCAAAAGGAGTCCTTCCGAAGCACGGAGGACTTACAGTCACCACCCCACTATCACCAACATTTCCCAAAGGCACTTCCAGAATGCCCCCCCGTACATCTCTAGCCCACGTGCCCAGCCACAGATAGGTCCGATTTGCTAGTCTAAATATTGTGAAAGGTCACATTTTGAAAATAACTTCAATTTGTTTATAGGTTGTCAGTACTCCTCATAAATATCCATCCGTCCACCCCGAGACCCGCCATTGGACGGCTCTGACTTTTGCTGTGTTGCATGGACATATTCCTGTAGTTCAGGTATTAATGGATTTCCCTATCCACGTCTGACCTTTAATTTTACCTCCTCCATTATGCAAATCTGTACTTCTCCCGGCATGCACATTCCCTAAGGGATTCATATTGGTTAACTGCAATGAAGTATAGCACATTCATATCATATAAACGCAAATATCATATGTAATGATCTATATGGCCTGGCTTTAACCAATATGAAATTATCACAGACCCACACGCAGCTTCACACACACAAGTGGCAAACGGATGAAGTTGTTCCTGGTTGCTCGGGGGTGGGGCCTGAGCTGTGATGTTGTGGATTTGTTCATTTTGCTTGTCCTAACATGAACATAAGACTTGGCTGGTGTGAGACCTTAGAACCTCCCCTTAGGTGTGACCCTGGTGTTTGTGTAGAGTCTAGTGGTTTCTAACTACTGGAAAGAAGCATCCCCAAGTCGCCAAAGGAGCGGTTCTAAAAGACACTTGCTGGGATCCTACTTATTGAGAATCTGGTCCCAGAGGTCTAGAGTAGGGCCTTTGCATGTGTCTTCTGAAACAGCTCCCCAGGTATGGAGAGGTGTCCTCTTCCGAGGTCCTTTGCTTGGACTTTTTCTGGTTGTTGTACAGTTGTTGTTCAAGAACGAGCCATCCAGTACATTCTAGATCTTAAACTCAGTCTTCAGTGCATCCAAAAAAAAAAGAAATCAGCATCCGGGTCCATTACCCCACCTGGCCTCCTAGTGCTAAGCTTTGGGTACATCAGGAACACTTGCTTTTATGTGGTCCAAGCCTCTTAGACGTCTGCGGAGCAGGAAAGAATGTTACAGGGACCACTGGGCAATGTTGGAGATCCACAGGAATCTTGGGTTGTTTCCTAGGTCATGGGACTCCTTCAGACAGATCCAAAGTCATGTTCCAGGGGGCGGAGTGTGTGATGTGTCACGCTGAGAGCTGACTTCTGCCTATAGAATGCTCTGTAGAATGTCATGCCCAGTTCACTCCTGGTAGAGGGATATAGTAAAGAAGGGATCGGGGGGCAGCCTAGTGGATACAAATGCCATCCCTTAAAGTGCAGTGGCCTCCCCAAGCCTTTAAATCAAGAATAGGAGTGGCAGGCAGCCAAGCAAAGCCAAATGAGAGTCAGGCCACCTCTCCCCTGCAGGTATACGAAGCATGGAATGCCGTCAGCAGCCCTCTCCCAGCTATGCCCTCAGGGAGCCCTGGATAGGTAGGAAAGAAGGCAGATTTCTCCCCCACCCATGTTCCGTTAGCGGTGCTGAGAGCACAGTCACTGTGAGCGAGACCCAGCATGGACAGCCTCCATCTTTAAGAAGCCCAGATATCTTCGGGAATGCACGGAACAGAGTAAACTCCTCAAAGCTCACTCTGCCACTTAATTGATTGATCTCACTGGCCAGGAAACTTGCTGAACTATCCTCAGAACTACCCAGAGTGTTCTAGAAGGGATTTGTGCCCTGGTTGGCCCAGGTGGTCCCCAGAGTCCTCCAGAACTCAAGATCCTGTGGTTCTAAGAGACCGCTCTAATGCTCTCCGAGGCTTTGTGTACCCAGCCCCCAAAAGGGAGTCTCCCAGCACTCCGGTGCCACGAGCGTCATCTAAGCTACATGTCAATCACCTGGCGATCCTGCTGAAATGCAAACTCTCATTCAGTTGGTCCGAGGTGGTGCCTGAGAGCCAGCATTTCCAACAAGCTCCCAGGCGATGCCGATCCTGCTTTCCGCAGACCACGCTTGGATAGTCCGAGCTTCTAGGAGATTCAAGAGGCTGTCATTCACCCTCCGGCGAACACCTGCCCTCACCCTGTGCACATGGCCACTGACCCAGAGGGAGGGCAGGAACATTGGCATCACACTGACTTCTGCCAGCTTTTCCTCATGTGTCCTCACAGCGCATGTCCTTTAAATGTCTCCGTGGCCGCTCTTCCTCCACAGCTGCTCCTGGACGCCGGGGCCAAGGTGGAAGGCTCCGTGGAGCATGGTGAGGAGAACTACTCAGAAACACCCCTCCAGCTGGCCGCCGCCGTAGGTAAGAGCCGCCGAGCCTCGTCCCCGCCGAGGGTCTCCACCACCTTGGCCCTCAATGTGTCTGTGACTCTATCTTTGCTTGATTCGCTGATAAAACCCCCTTCTCTGGGCTTGCAGGAAATTTTGAGCTGGTTAGTTTGCTGTTGGAGCGTGGCGCGGATCCCCTGATAGGAACCATGTACAGGAATGGAATTTCTACCACCCCCCAGGGTGATATGAACTCTTTCAGCCAGGCTGCAGCCCACGGACACAGGTAGGCTAGGATGGGCCAAAGCCACAAGGTCCCAAGCGGTGCTTGTTAAAAATGCAGATTCCCAGGCCTACCCCAGACCCACTACATCTCTGGATGTGGGGCCCAGAGGCAGGCCAGACCCCAGGCCTGGCCAGAGTGGCCTTAACTGCCAGCTTCCTGCTCAGAGCCAACCACGCAGCGCACATCCACTCAGACTGCCTTGTTTTGTCCTTTCCCGATCAGCTTTCACCTCACAGAGATTCCACTCTGCCTGTGTTGGTCAGAACCCATCACCTCAGCTGCCAGGAAGGGAGAAGAATCCATTTTAAAAATAAGAAAACCCCTCACGCTTGGGTACTACTTGTCTACATTTCTTTCGGGGTTTACCCCATCCTATCTTCTTCCACATACCCCAAGTAAAGCAAATTCACTGTGGGACCCCATGCAGGCTGATGGTTAAAAGGGCACAGTTCTAGAACCTTCCGGATACTTGAGGAAAGCACTTAGCTCCCCGACTGCCCTCAAGGAAACATAGCCAGTCATGCCCCACCGTCTCCTCCATCCTTAAAACATAAGCACCCGTGGTCGGGCCTCTGAAACCACCGCCCCCCAGCGTCATTCCTGTCATTCCATTGTCTCACATGAGTGGTGTCCCCACGCCCCACACCCCGTCCCTGCCCCGGCAAAGCCCTTCCATCTCTGAGTGTCTTCCTCTCTGGGTTTGTGATTGACAGGAATGTGTTCCGCAAACTGCTCGCTCAGCCAGAGAAGGAGAAGAGTGATATCCTGTCCCTGGAGGAGATTCTGGCCGAGGGGACTGAGCTGGCGGAGACAGCCCCGCCTCCCCTGTGTGCCAGCCGCAACAGCAAGGCCAAGCTGAGAGCCCTGAGGGAGGCCATGTATCACAGCGCTGAGCATGGCTACGTGGATGTCACAATTGATATCAGGAGCATAGGTCAGTCTGGGCACCCTCCACGCAGGGCACAGCACCCCGCCCAGCCCTAGGTCACTCACATGCACACGCGCACACACACCACAGGGCCAGGGAGCTTCTCATTTGCTGGCTGGAGCACTTCTCAGCTAAAACGCCCACACGATCCCCAAAGGCCCATCCATCCTCAGGTCATTTTCTCATGATTCCCCAACTCTGGACCCTGAGAATTTAGGCGTTGGAATCACCTGGGAGCTTGTCCAAATACAGATTGCCAGGCCCTACACCCAGAGGCTCTGCTGTCGAGGGTCTGGATGGATAAAGGCCGGAAATCTTTATGTTTAACAATCATCCCAGGTGGTTCCCAGTGGTTGGTGAATCACTGCCGTAGAGCACCCAGATCCATGAAGCAGTGACCAGACAACCAGCTAGGATGAGAGCATCACTTCCTCACCGGGCTCACCCACTGAGCTTCAGGGCGCAAAGCCACTCTCGGGAAAAGCTAGGTAGGGGTGGCTCTTCCTTGAGTGAGCTAGCTCGGATCCATCTCCTCCGTGTGTCCAGGGAGCAGGCCATCCCAGCCTTCCCAGTCTGGGGGCAGGGGCCCTGCACAGGAATAGTAGAACCTAGCGTGGGCCTTCCACTGACCTGGTGTGGCAAGTCGAGGTGAGCGGAGGGCCTGAGGAGAGGCCCCCCTGCCGCTGTTCTGGATGTGGGCCTCTCTCTCAGAGTGACTGTTTAGTATGTGGGACATTTATGCCATTGCCCCAAGAGCTTATTTAGCAGGATGATGAAGCTCCGGACTCTGAATGGCCTGTTCCTAATGAACAGTAGTGAGAAGCGCTCTTCCTCTGTGCCTATGAGCTGCTGGAGAGGTTTCTGTTACAGGAGGAAGGCCTGATGAAGCGCCCACAGATGGAAAAGTTGTTTTGCACAGGGGAGCAAGAGGGGTATCCTCCCAGGTCTTTCTCTGACATCCCATGTCCATCCTGGATGGAGCGGTAGATGGTCAAGTCCACCCATAGGTTTCACCAGCTCTGAGCTCTCTCATCTGGGCATGATGTGCTGTCTCATCCCGGGCAAGACCCTTCCCCCCCTGAGCTTCCATCCCCCCAGAAGGCAGCAGGGGTGGAGGTGAACGGAGTCAGGACGCAGAAGTATGGAGTAGGCATAAGCATCGTGTGACAATTCCATGTGCTACCTGACGGTTATATCTGGTAAAATGCAGCTCCTAGTAATGTGAACGGCGTGCACAGATGGACACCCATAGCTAAGGGAACTGAATTATGATCTTCAGTTTCAACATCTGCAAGTCTTCAGGGAAAAAAAGCAACACCGGCGCTATTCATCCCAAGTCAGGCTCTTGTCTTGGTCTCGTCATTTGGTGCTGTCCTGGGGAAAGGCCAGCTTCCAGATAAAAACACGCCTTCTGTTGTGGTTGTTTTCTGTCTTGTCCTCTCCTCCCCTCCATGCCCTCCCCTCCCCCTCCCAGGGGTCCCGTGGACACTGCACACGTGGCTAGAGTCTTTGCGGATCGCCTTCCAGCAACACCGCAGGCCTCTCATCCAGTGCCTGTTGAAGGAGTTCAAGACCATTCAGGAGGAAGAGTACACAGAGGAGCTCATTACCCAAGGCCTGCCCCTGATGTTTGAGATCTTGAAAGCAAGCAAGGTAGGAGAAGTTTGACGCTGTTGGGGTCGGTCGGCGGCAGGGAACAAGAACGACCTTGCCAGCCCCTTAGCCTGGTCCCGCCCTTTGGGGAGGACCGTGTGCCCAGCTGGCTAAAGCTGCTTGTGTTGTCATTTGTGGGCCACTGTTTGTTTGTTTGTTTGTTTGAAGATTTTATTTATTTGACAGAGAAAGATAGCAAGAGCAGGAACACAAGCAGGGGTGTGGGAGAGGGAAAAGCAGGCTCCCCACCGAGCAGGGAGCCCGACGTGGGGCTCGAACCCAGGACCCCGGGATCATGACCTGAGCCGAGGGCAGACGCTTAACGACTGAGCCACCCAGGTGCCCCTGTGCGCCACTGTTTTGCTGAGCACCTGCTATGTTCCAAAGCCCTTGGGCACATGGAACAAAGTAGAGAGATACCTTCTAATCCAGGGAATTTACACGAAAGCTGGGGCAATCATGCCAACGCATGTGCCCCAAGGCCATCTGAGGTTTATGAAACAGCGTTCAGTTGGGTGGCATGGGCTCTGAGAGGTGTGAGTCGGTCAGGGAAGGTGTCATGGAGGTGCGGAGACATGAGCAGGCCTGGATGGACAGATAGGAATTCAGCGGGCAGAGGGAAATGGTACAGACCCTGCCGAGGATCCTGCAAAGCCAGGCCCTGGAGAAAGCTTTTCGGGTACAGAGGATCAGATGAGGGTCACCCCTTCCTCACGGGCCTCCTAATTCCCACAATAGGGAAATGCTGCAACCCCATTAAAACATCAGTCCAGCCCTTGGGCCATTATGAGATCAATTCTTAAAAATTTCTTTGGGGTCACTTGTTTGGCGCTACCATAGAGATGTCTGGTCCCAGCCAGTGGGCCATGCGGCATTATTGTGTGTGTTGCTAGAGAACTTTGAGGATGGACAGTGGTGGTGTGCCCATCCCCCAGCCATCCACTGGGGTGGAGAGCCAAGGGCAGGGGGAGACAGTGACCAGTGCCCCACCACCGTGGCCACGCAAGCACCAGGGGTGGCAAGTCTGTCTGAGAGGCTGGGAGGAGTCTGTGCATCAAGTTCCACATAACCTGAGGGCTTCTCAGTGGCCCCCAAGGGCCTGTATGGCACAGTGGTTCAGAGCACAGACTCTGGAGCCAAACTGCGGGGATTCAAGCCTCGCTGTGCCACCTCCTAACCTTATGACCTCAGTCAAGTTACTTCACTTCCGTCTGCCTCAGTTTCCCTACCTGAAAATGGGGACAGTAATTATATTAAACCTCTTAAGTTGGTTGTGAAGATAACATGGGTCAGCGCCCTTCAAACTGTCCCTGTAAATTAGTGAGTGCTTTATAAGTGACTCCGTCATAAAGATGGCCTCATCAGAGGACGTGACGCTTCCACTATTTCCCAAAGGGTGTTCTATAAAAACCATCCCATTGCAGGGCACGTACCAAGCAGCCACGAACACTGACCTGAGAACAGGCCGAACGTCAGCTCTTTCTGCAGGCTAACATTGGATTACTCCAGTTTCTCTCCTGCAGAGCCTCGAATACCCTAATTCACAAAGGCAATCAGGGGTTTCCCAAACTCATTTGACCTTGGAACCCTTTTATAATGAACTGTCTCAAGACACAAATGAGGATATTTTTAAGCTAAAATATATATTTTATATTTACTATATGCCGGGCACTCTTCTAAGTGTATTATAAGGATTAACTCAATCCTCACGAACAACGTTTGAAGGAGGTAATGTTCTTATCCACATTTAACAGATGGGTAAACCGAGGCACAGAGCAGGTGATCACTTGCCCAAGATCACACAGTTAGTAAGTGGCAGAGCTAGGCTGGAACCCAGGCAGCCTGACTCTAGCACCAGCCTCTTACCCCTTCGCTCCAGAACAGACTTTCTAGAACTCTGGGGTTCCCTCTAAGACAGTGGAGCCTCTGAAGTCTCAGGGGGAATGGGCCTCTGAACCAGAAGGGCAGTGTGGGTTCCCCTTGCCAGGCTGGGCCCATGGGCTGTCCAAAGAGTGAAGAGGGGAGCAGAGAGCTGCCCTCTCTGGATGTGGCAGTGTCGGTCAAACAACAAAGCAGCAACAACACAGCCCGTCCGCTGTCTGAGCCTCGGGGCACCTGGCCTGGGGTCCAGAACAACTCTCGTGAGATATTCTCGTCAGCAGCCTAGCCTTAGTCTCAGGGCCCCCTGCGGGCTGGATTTGCACCTGATGGAAGCCCCACCAGGACCCAAAATGGGAGCGGGGGTGCCAGCCCTTGTGTAATAAGCCACAGCAATTCCACAGAGAGCAAAACCTGATGGAAGCATTTCAAAACCAAACTCTCCCTGCCCCTCACTCTTCACCCCTCCAACTCCGAATGAATGAATAGAATGAATGAATGAATGAATGAATGAATGAATGAATGAATGAATGGAGTGGTACTTTCACCTGCAATTACCTAAGAAACCACTTTAGTGAAAAACATTCCTAAATCTGTTCCCAGAGTTAGCGGTTCTAACTTGTTTTTGGTTTCTTGGTTTTTGTTTGTTCCTTTTTTAGGGTATAGTAGGAATTCCAGAAATTACTGAGGCATCCTGTGTATTAAGTAAGCCTAATACATAGGTTTTTAAAGTAAACTTTATTTTGGAGTTTTGGAGTATGACATACATACAGAAAAGTGCCCAGATCATAACTATAGAGTTTTCACGAGGTAAATATACCTGTGTGATCAGCACCTAGGCCAAGAAAGAGAACATTACTAGCACCCCAGCAGGCCCCTTATGCCCCACTCAGCTACTACCCCTTAAAGGGCAGCCAGTGGCTGGGGGGGGGGGGGGGTGGGAAGAAGGGAGGAGCCTTTGCCAGGAGATGTGGACTAGAGCCTGCTCCCCATCAGCCATACCGATCTTCAAGGGTGGAGGGAGCCAGGGATGAGGCAGGAGCAGCTCCTTGTCATGAGCAGACAGTCTGGGAAAGATGGTCCACTCAAGAGTTGGGTTTGCTCTTATAGGGGCTCAGGGGCAACCCCTACTGGTGAAGTGTGGTATTACACATCATGTATATTGCCAGTAGGAGGAAAGACGAGGTGATCAATTTCCCGTGGCTACATTGTGAAGCCAAGCATTCCCCAAGCACCAGTGATATCCCTATGGTCAAAAGAAGACTGGAGAGAGATGGGGGCAGAGAAATCCAAAGAGTTGAGAAAGCTCTACAAAGCTTGCCCTCCCATCCATCCTGTTAGAGTGATGGTCAGTGGCCACACATCACAGAACTGCCTGGCGTTGTTCCTTCTCCTTCCATTAAACGGGTCCCGTTCAGATCGCATCTGCCGTTCTGTGTGGACAGGGATCTGGTTTTATCACATGGATAAGAAATAGTGGATAAGGAGATAGAAATTCCGGAAATAAATTCACTTTATGGTCAACTCACAGGAATACAGCTGTCCTATAAATGAAGCATATGCCTTCCCATCCTTGACTTGTGCTCATTCATACATTACTTGATATCTGGTTGCAGATGTGGGTTTTTGTTTTTTGGCTCCCTCTTCTAAATTTAACTACAAAAGAATTCAGCGTCGGGCGCCTGGGTGGCTCAGTTGGTTAAGCGACTGCCTTCAGCTCAGGTCATGATCCTGGAGTCCCAGGATCGAGTCCCGCATCGGGCTCCCTGCTCGGCAGGGAGTCTGCTTCTCCCTCTGACCCTCCCCCCTCTCATGTGCTCTCTCACTCTCATTCTCTCTCTGTCAAATAAATAAATAAATAAATAAAAATCTTAAAAAAAAAAAAAAGAATTCAGCGTCTCTAGATCTTCCAGGAACAGAACAGTGTAGCCATTTCTTAATATACACCTGTTTAAAGAAAGTTCCTGGTCCGTTTCTCCCACACGTAATTCCCCAGAGCGCTGATTCATTCCACAGTCACCAGGTCTCACTACGCTGTAGTGGTGATGGGACCGACACATTCTTTCTCCTCCTGGAGCTTACTATGTCCAGGGGAGGGGCAGACACACTGTAAGCCAGGAATGGATCAGCAAAAGAGAGTGAGAGCTTGATACATGCTATGAAAAAAAAATTAGACAATGATATAGTGTCTGGGGGTGGGGCAGGCAAGGCGTAATCTAGACAAGATGTAAGGAAGGTCTCACTGAGAAGGTAGCAACCACCCAAGTGAGGAAAAGCTCCAGCCATGCAGGGGTCTGGGGCAAAAGCATTCCAAGTGGGGAGTGTGGGAGCTGAGGCTCTTAATGGAAATGTGCTTGGTGTGTTGAGGTGACAGGAAGAAGAGCAAGGTGACTGAGGCGGTGGGACAAAGGAAGAAGTATCAGAGATAAAAATCAGATTGCATGGAGTCATTCTCCGTGGTGAAAAGTGTGGGTGTCCCTCCACGTGCAGTGAATAGAACACCACTGGAGGTTTTAGACAGAGACAAGACCTGATCTGTGGGGGGTTTTTCTTGTGATTTGTACACTGTTTTATTTTTTCTCAATTCTTAATTGAAACATCTTAGTTTTTTAAACTTTTGATTCTGAGATCATCATAGATTCACATGCAGTTGTAAGAAAAACTGTACACTACTATGTAGCCTTTACTCAGTTTCCCCTATTGGCAGTATCTTACTAGACTATGGTAAAATATCACAACCACCATATTGATGTGATAAAGTCAACGTGCAGAAAATTTCCATCACCCACAGGATTCCCTCATGTTGCACTCTCCTAGCCAAACCCATTTCCCTTCTGCCGCCACCCCACTCTTACCCCCTGGTAACCACTAATCTGTTCTCCATTTCTCTAATTTTATTTCAAGAATGTAATTTCAGGGGCTCCTGGGTGACGCAGTCAGTTAAGCATCCGACTCTTGGTTTTGGCTCAAGTCGTAATCTCAAGTGTCGTGAGATCGAGCCCCACATCTGGCTCCACACCCAGCATGGAGTCTGCTTGAGATTCTCTCTCCCTCTCCCTGTGCTCCCCCTGGTCATGCACTCTCTCTCTCTCTCTCTCATAAATAAATAAATAAATAAATAA